TATTGCACAAGAAATAGAAAGTGTAAGTAGATTCATAGTTAAAAATAGATACATCATCAAATTCTAATTTTAGAGAAGAAATTATGTATACATATAGTTTGAAATTTACTGTTCATTATTAGATATTTTGAAAAATAAATAAAGGCAAGTTTTATAGATTTTTAAAGACATTATATTAATGATGCATGATATTTTGGAAATTGCTTTTTTTTTCATTTTGTTGTTGTAAACTTTATGAAGAATTTAGTGGTTGGTTTGTTTGTTATTCTGTATAAATTAATGCTAGAATGCCATATATGTATATATAGGCGATTTGGTGCCACGATATCTCAGTAGCATGAGTTCGAATCCCGGTCAGGGAAGAACAATAATTTGCTCCGATCTAACATGTTTGGGCTGTTATTTAGACGAATTATATATACAGAATGTGTTTTCAGCCTTCAAGTTGTATCACCATCACTGGTGATCCGATGGATAAAATCTGTCGTAGAGTTGTCACTGGTTCAGACGTGCTTATAATGTAATTATTTATGTGACTGCATCCTACATTTATTTGTAAGATCCTCTACGATAGATAATTCAGCTGATCTATAATATTCCATCTTCATGCCTTATATATCATGTACTGTGTTACGACGCTAGATAAAAACTGACGGGGAAAGGTAATACCCGGCCACCGAAAGCTTGATTTGAGTCGAGCCTAGGTGGTCGAGTGGTCTAGCGCGTCGAGCATAGTGCAAGGCGATTTGGTGCCACGATATCTCAGTAGCATGAGTTCGAATCCCGGTCAGGGAAGACCAAAAATTTGTTTCCGCAAATTTACAGATCTAACATTGTTGGGATGTTATTTAGACGAATTATATATACAGAATGAATATCAGCCTTGTATCACCATCACTGGTGATCCGATGGATAAAATCTGTCGTAGAGTTGTCACTGGTTCAGACGTACTTATAATATAATTATTTCTGTGACTGCATCCTATATTAATTTTGTAAGATCCTCTACGATAGATAATTCAGCTGATCTATAATATTCCATCTTCATGCCTTATATATCATGTACTGTGTTACGACGCTAGATAAAAACTGACGGGGAAAGGTAATACCCGGCCACCGAAAGCTTGATTTGAGTCGAGCCTAGGTGGTCGAGTGGTCTAGCGCGTCGAGCATAGTGCAAGGCGATTTGGTGCCACGATATCTCAGTAGCATGAGTTCGAATCCCGGTCAGGGAAGACCAAAAATTTGTTTCCGCAAATTTACAGATCTAACATTGTTTGGATGTTATTTAGACGAATTATATATACAGAATGAATATCAGCCTTGTATCACCATCACTGGTGATCCGATGGATAAAATCTGTCATAGAGCTGTCACTGGTTCAGAAGTACTTATTATATATATATAAACCGTGTATTTTATATGCTATGATCATCGGTTATGTACATGTATTTTTGCCTCTTATCTGAAATACAGCAATGGTACATTTTTTGTGATTTTGTTAGACACCCAAGAGATACACTTATAATTTTTTATAAGACTTAATTTGTTTCTATGCAGAGTACGTAGACTATCATTAAACCAGATTCATTTATAAAATGTTAATATGAAATGAGTTTTATGTGTTACAATGGAATGACATTAGCAGTTTTATGTATTATACTGGAATGAACTTAGCCATTATCGTAAATTGCCTACACGTGCACAAAGTTGTTCAAGTTATATTTGTGATATATCTATATACATTAAAACTGTAATTAAAATAACATATCTTTATCTTGTAGTTTATTTTTTGATTATCTTCCATTTACCGAGAAGTGACTGAACTCAAAACAAGCAAAGATTCTATTTTTCCAGGTCAAAATCTTAACATGTCAGACATAACTATGAGAAAAGATATCAGCATCAATTGCAAGGAAATTGGTTTTTATCATCAAATGAAAATATCTTCTTCAATTAATGTCCATTCAAAAAGGCACTATTTATCTTTATACCTAATCGATAAATAGCTATAATAAGTATAGTTGCGTAGAGAACCCTTAAAAGAGAGGCGAAAGATACCAAAGGGACATTCAAACTCAAAGTCGAAAATAAACAGACTACGCCATGGCTAAAAAAGAAACAAAGACCAATAGACAACAACAGTACACAAAACACAACATAGAAAACTAAAGATTGAGCAACACGAACCCCACCAAAAACTGGGGGTGATCTCAGGTGCCCCAGAAGGGTAAGCAGATCCTGCTTAAATGTTGTCTTATCATGACATAAACGTCGAAACAAACACTATTTATTTGAAAATACGTCAAGGTACCTAGAGATACTGTTCTAAGTTGTGTTTCAAATAAATCACTATTTCTCTCTCCTTGTTTATATTTCAAATCAGTGCATATTAAAGTTCAACGTTTCGTGGAATTTAATTTTGTCTTGGTCCATTCTTTTAAAGAATAAACTTGATTTATCGCCCTTTAACCAGTAATGGCAAATTAATGCAAAGACCTTATTACGATATGAGAAATTTGGAAATTTTGTTTGCATAAACTATGAAAAGGTCTATATAATTAAAGAAATGCTCAATTTCTCGTGTTTTTTTTTGTGTTTTTTTCTGGGTAAACAATAAATATGTATGCTTTTCAAAAGTAAACGTCAAAACTAGGAAGAAAGCACAATATGTATATGTAAGTTCAATTAATAAAATTTAAGATCCCGGTCAACGTATAAACAGACTAATATCGGATATTAGTTACTTCAAAAACAGTCGAAGAACGAATCTCCCGGAAATTTTATCTATCAAACCGCAGTGCCAAAGATGTAATTTGTATCAATACTTTACTTTATCTCAATCAGAAAGATTTTTTTGCGAAATTAATGCGCAGCGAAACAAACTTGATTTATCTCCCTTTCAATGTAAAATGTAAGCTTGTATGCACGTAAATATTTGAACTATTGGCTGTTGTTCTTTTCTTTATGAGAATTTAAATATCTCGTTATTTTCGCCGTCGTTGCAGGAGTACTAAAATCAATGTAAGGAGAGATTTCCCTTAGGAAGGCAGAAGTTTTCTCCATTTATATTGTATACATGAAGCGTATGCAGATGGATAAAATTAAAGAAAATTAGTGGAGAGTTTTCTTCTGAATTTGATTAACAATACTCTTATTTTCTTATTCTACATATATTTCTAGATTTAAAGATGGTTCAGGATTAAATAATGTCACATAATGGTTTAGTTATATTTGTCAAACAGTATGCATGATTTGTACATACACCATACGGATAGTGTTGACAACTTCATATTTCTATAATAGGAATACAATGAGATGTTGGTATTAAGTCGATCAGACAGAAATCCAGCAACACAAAAAGTATAAAAACATATAAAGGTCAATAAAACCATCTTCAATACTAGGCAAGTATCCGAATAATATTAAGTCAAGTTGTAAGTCATCACCCAGGTCTTACTAAAAGTAAGAATGAAAGAATCAAACCCTGATTGGTTGGCAAAGTATCATGTGATATTCATATTTCTTGGCAAACGTGTTAATTAAGTAAGCAGGGCAAAGTTTAATCACTGTTTATCCACTAACATGTTTATTGCTGATATAGCACAATTAAGTTTTAATTTTTCTACAACTGTTACAGTAAAACTCGTGGCAAATCCCAGGATTCCACTTACAATTAGCTGTATGATGTAGTAATGTATGACACATTACAAAAATACAAAGTAATGTTAACTGAATTCCGGATATTGCAGTTAAAAACGGAGTTCACAGAAATGTACATATTGAGACGACATGGCGTTTCTTACGCTTTTTTTTTTATCAAAGTAAAGTTGAGGTTAAAATAATTCTGTTCATTCAATAATGCAATCTTGTTCATTTGAATTAGGTTAATTCGTTGTTTAGCATATGAAAAAAAAAATCACGTGATCAGTCGCATTCTTAGGAAAATAGGGTGTGATTGTGCTTACGAAAGGTATAATATATCCGTGATCATCTATGATACAGATATATTACCATAACCGCCAATCAAATCATGATGGCTTCGAAGTGTACAAATAATATGTAAAAGAAATTAAGAAAGTTACAACAGTAAAAGTGTGAGACTCGGAAATCTCAGACACTTACAGATAAGACGCTTTTCGGTGACAAAAATGCAACGCTCTTTTTTAGCTTTATAAACAAAACCATGTCCAAATTCCAATAGAGCATGGGGTGGACGTGCTTATTCACATCACAATTAAAATTGCAACATCATTTGTATTTTGAACAACATCGGAAATCAAAATGGACAATTTTGATGTTATTGCTTGCTCCGAAATTAGATAAAATCTATCATAAATAAAGTTTGCATGTATCTTTACACAATTTAATCGTGAAAAGGTTGTTTTTAGAGCATTTTTGATCATTCAAATCAATATGGTTGCCTGTCGAACGTGTCTTAAAGGTCCGCTTCGAAGTACAAAAGTTGTGAATTTCCTATTAGAATCGAAATAAATCAAGCATGCGTTATGCTCATTTAAGCATGGGTATGCATTTTATTTGTCAACATTTTCTACATCGCTAACGCTTTGTATAAAGATATTGACAAATATAATGCCTACCCATGTTCAAATGAACATAAAGCATGGCATGTAAGAATTATCACTTAACGAAATTGCACAAAGGATGCCTAGTCATACGCTTTAGGACGGGCAAAAGACCAGAGTGTATATATATAGTTCCCTTCGGCATCGCCGGTAATGACACAATAAAAACAAAGTGATTTGGGCTATATATTTGTGGCAATACTTAAATGTATGTTAAATTAAATTTCAAAACAAATCACTTGTACAGATATATAAGACGTTGAGAACCAAACAAAATATTTCGAAATGAAATGTTCCCTACAATGCCACTGAGCTGTCCTTCTACTCATCAACATCAGCTCAATAATCATCAAGCTCCTCAAAAAATGTGGCGTTTAATTCTTTCGTGTCTTTTGTATGGTTCATATATACTCACCAACATATGTTTCATGGTATTGTTGTTGACGTTGGAGACATTCCAACTTGTATGGTGCTCTTCCCTCGAACTCCATCATCATGTGTTCGTAGTCCATACCGGCACATTCAGATTAAATCTGCATTATAAAAGTAATGGATACTTTGTAAAATATTGTTTATAGTATAAAGTTAGTGAAAGGTTTGACACAACTTCTAACATTCGTTATATCAAAATAAAGTTTGTTTACGTATATATATATATGTTTTCTAGCTATCTGAATTTTTGGCCAAAAAAGTACAGGAGTAGTTATCTAGTTAATATTTGAATTATTAATCTTTAGTTTAGAAAAAAACAAATAAAACAAGTTGTCTACCATGGTTTTCATTGTGTTAAGGAATATATATCAGTTCGTATAATCAATATCAAATATATTTAGTCTATTATGTATCGAAGTTACTATAAGCTAATCAAATTACAAATTACATATTCACCTAACAGATAAGCGAGTTTTTAGTACACACACTTCGAGATAGACAGCAGATACATATGGGCAATAAAATAACAGATGTCGAGGAATAACGGACAGTACCCTTGCCAAAAAGTAAAATTGAAATAGGAAAACAGTCCATATTGTTCTTGGTAGATGAAAATTCGGCGGTAAAATGCATTAGTGGTGTCACAATCGAGAAAAAGAGGACGAGATTGTGGCTAAGACCAATGGAACATATATGGGGTCATCTGTGACACAGATATTCGATAAACGAAATCCTGATGGGTTCCGGATACTTTAAAGCGCTGAGGCAGTCAATATAAATTAAATACAGGCATTAAAAAGTTTGAATTTTGAATTAACAAATTAAATACTTTAAACTTGATTTCAGTAATTTGAGTCCTATCATTCATTTAACTAGTTATAACCATTTCTATTTGCCTTTTTAGTTATTGGTGTATTGTTTTGTGTTTTATAAGGCTTTGTTATGTTCTCATTATTACCCGTGTGGCTGAATAATGTAGATTTTCTTTATTGTGCGTTTTTAACTGTCTCTCATTCTCTCACTGGTCGAAAAAAGGGGAGGGTTGAGTACTTGTCAAACTGGTTTAAAACTGCCACATGTTGATGTATATGTTCAAATCCAGAATAATCCAAAAGCAATACGAAGTGTTGAAGAACTGATATAACCGAAAAGGTCCATTAAAAAGGATAGCATATCCAGCGCAAGAAACCAGAGCTATGCATGAGGAAGATACATGCATCACTTTTAAATCATTTCATCAGTTTGATCACTGGAAATTTTTAAAAAAACATATCCGTATGTTCATATCAGTACCGAAGCACTGATTTGCTGGGCTGTGGCTACCCTCGGGGTCTAGCAGTTCCCCAGCATTGGTAATGACCCACTATTTATAAAGGATTGGACGGAACCCATTTACTGCATCAGATGCTGATGTATGAGGTAAAATGTTTGAAATTTCAAGATCTTATATAAAAAAATTGATCAAAGCTGAATATCCTGAATGAATTGATATTTTTTTTTATAGTGGCTTATAGGCTGCAATGCATGTTTTGGGTGGTATTAAGGGAACAATCGTAGAATCTTTACCTTGAAACTGAATTGACATCAAAGTCTGGGAAGTTAGATTGAAGACTGAAAATATCAAATTCTTGTTAAGATTTTCCATGTGCCAGTAATTTCAACTCGTATTATATGTCTAAATATGTGACAACTTTACGACAGACGTTCTCCATCGGATAACCTATGGGGATACAGGTGAAACACCATAATCTATATAAACTTCGTTTGAAATTTAGGGAAAAACATTTATATCAATTTAACTTTGAATGTATTAATTCTAAGTTAAGTATTTCGAAATTCAGATCTGTCAAATAAGGGCAAGGTCATCAAGAAGATATGAACACATGATTCTAACAGTATTTGATTTCTGATATTTACTTCTTCGTCAGCCAAGTTAATTTCATACGAATTCAAACTACACTCGCTTCTTCCTTATTTGTTTAAATAAATACTTCATATCCGTCGGTTTTAGAAAAAGATTAATATGTTTACTTATTCAATTTGAGTTTGCTCACACGATTTTGATACATGAAGCATGTTATTCTTATCAAAATGAAAATGACATGCCAACAAATATTTTTAATTTTTCGTTTCAAATGAGAGCGTTTATTACCAAGTAAAAAATCGTTTTTCAAATGCAAATTCGTTTGCCGTTGGCTAAAACTTAACATTGCTATTCAACAAATTCACATGGAAAATTTATGACAGGAGATTTTTTTCACTTCGTTTATTATAGTTACTTATTTCTTTTTTTGCCCCGCCGTAAGTATGCATTAAGTGTGACCCTTGACCATCCTTCCGTCCGTCATTCCGTCCGTCCCATTATCGTTTCTGCACTCTTTATCCAAATTTTATGAAACTCATACGCAATGCTAAGAACCAAAATTCGCAGATAGAATTCGAATTTGGGCAGTGAGTTACTTACTTTTCTAGAGTTAAGCCCCTTTATAACTAGGAAAATTGCAAAATTTTCAGTTTCCGCACTCTTAACTTAAGTTTGTCTCATCCAAATTTTAAGAAACTCATACACAATGTTAAGATTCACCACACGCAGACAGAATTCGAATTTGTGCAGTGAGATTTTTTTTACCGTTCTAGAGTTATGCCCTTTTTAACTTGGGAAATTGCAAAGTTTGAGCAGGGGCATTCGGGTCCTTCGACATTCTTCTTTTATTTATGTAATAAGTTTTGGGGCTTTCTTCACCCCGTATAACACATTTCCTTTGCGTTGACATTGAACAGTTTACTTACAATTCGCAATGCCAAATTGAAGAATTACACAAAAACAATTGAAATGTTTACTCTCAAGCGGAGAATTCAGTGCAAGTTACTGCTCCTCGTTGGGCTTGTCTTTATATCCTTATTCCAAAATTAACATGACTTCCTAACCAGAGATTTTACTTGCAGAAAAAGGAAATGATTCACTTTAAGTATGGCGGGTTCTTCTCGAATAATTTGCATTTGCATAAACATCAATAGTGAATTTACTTTTTACATATAAGCCCTAGCAAATTCACTTTTTGAAGTATATGGAAGCAGAGAGAAAATAAAAATCAGTTTAAGCATTTTATTCAAGACTTGAAGTCCTTGGTTTTTATTCTCTACCAGAAATGACAATCACATCATATTAAGAACGAATTCAGGTCAAGGAACCGTAAATGGGCTATGTCACAGATTTGGTAAAATTTTGCATACAACGTTGACACGTTGAACTGTAACTGAAAATTAAAAAAATAAAGCATTTATCTCTTTTATTCTCTGAAATATTACTGATTTAATTCTTTCAAAATAGGTGAAAATTTGTATAAAAAGCACATAAAATCTGCGAAAAACGTTCTTTAATTTGTCTTAAAATCATCAAATCTCCAATTTCAAATCCAAAGATTTTTCGTTAAAAATCTATATTTTGTTGTTAATATTTCCATTTTGATAACTGCTTATTTTTAATGTTGTGGTGGAAAACCATGACGTCAACCAAAAATTTTTAATGCAACATTTGTTTTTATTTTGAAGGACTGTTACATTTGTAATTTTGAAACTTGCAGTAGAAAGACATGACTTCAACTGCATATTTTTTGTCGTGTCGCTCTTTGATTAGCTGTAAAAACTGAATACTTGTTGACTAAAACAAAGATTTACTATTTCCTGGTAACATGGTAAAAATGTATCATGATTTATTGCTTTTTGGTTTTCATCCCCCTGTCTTGTGTACAAGTATGTAAAACGTATTTACATAATGTAGGTTTACAACATTTTTTTATTTCAGTCATTCCTGACGACAAATAGATCAACGACACTATAACTAATTCTGAGGTTCGGTTGGTTTATTTACTTCGGTGACAAGTCACATTTAACAATTTCGAATTGATTAAATTGTTGTCTGCTTAACATCCAGCGGCAAATATTTCATGAAGTGTTCAAGACGAACACAAACACAATTAATAATAGAACAGTGTGTAATACGAATCAGCAAATGTAGAGATTTTGCCCATTTGGGACCTAGATACAACAGTTTCAAAAACAAAACTGCGACACCCTGAAAAAGATACACGAATATATATTCATGAAAAAGTTTTTGTCGCTAAACATGCTTTGCTCATTGCTGAAGGCCGTACGGTGACCTATAGTTGTTAATTTCTGTGTCATTTGGTCTATTGTGGAGAGTTTTCTCATTGGCAATCATATCACATCTTCTTTTTATATGCTAATCAGTTAAGTACGTTTTAGTATCATTTTTTATTAATACGAAACTTAAAAAATAAGCGAAAAATATTTTTATAAGTCGAGAGCAGAATACCTTAGAAGATGGTCATTTAGAGAAGTGACAATCAGCACAAACAAAAATAATTATTGAGTGTGAAGTGGACAATTAACGTAGTTTCTAGTTTATTCTTACTTTCATAACATTCAAACATACGTTCTTCGTATTTACTTGATTAATGATGTTGATAATAAATTTACAAATATAGAAATGCTAGTGGACATTTTGTAAACGAGGAAAAAAGCAACTAAATGTGCTTGTTCGTAAAATTAAACGTACGTTAGAGATCACTCCGATAACACAGAAAAGACATGAAGGATTGTGTGCCCTTTTGTTGTTTCAATGTTAAACGTGTGGAAATTTAATCACAGCCTTTCCCCTTGTACTCTTATATTTGAAAATGTCTTTTTGATAAATAGAGAATTACTGCGTGCAGTGCCAGGAATGGTTTAAATAAATCAAGTTATATATCATATACTTATATCATAATCATAACTGACAAGAACATCAAATTTCTGATAAACACCAACAATTGATTGACTCGAACTATCCATCAAGGAATCACAGCGTGGTATTACTTTAAACTAACAAAGTTCAAAAGAACAGTAATTTACTGCAATCGCTGAGCGGCAATCATCATAAAAGGCGAGAAAATAGAATTGGATAAGAAATCAATAACATTTTTTAAATAACAAAGCAGGATAGATGGAATGTTATCGTTTATTTTCCAGGAGTTGCAGGTTGCTCTTTTGTCTACCCTACTTAGGTAAATTTATCTGAACACTGTGACTGGAAAAAATA